ATTGGCACCTCGGCTGCAACAGAGCTGGAAATGGTTCTTGTCTCCCACTTTACACTGTGATAAACCCAAAATTTTTCAAATTGTGGGAGTGGCTCACCTCTACCTGGGTGGCTTGATGTAAAGCATTGATTTTAATAAAGATTCAAATCAGCAGGCAGGAAACCCTGATCTAAATAATCAATGTTAATTGTTTTTACATCTATATTTTGTAGCTATTTACCAAAAGAACGTTGATTCTCTCTGGTTGGTAGTCATTAAAAGATGATAATTTTTAGGTCAATATAGTCTTTGCACTAACTTTGCTACTGCTGTTTGCCAAATAGGAGGATATACTACACATGTATACACATTTTTTAAATTTAACATATGCTTATTCAGATGCTTAATTTTTTTAAACTTTTATACTATGGTAGAAAACGAGTGATGCATTTCTTGTTTATTAGATGACAATTTTTTAACTTGTGGCATTCAGCTGTATTTGGATGGATCCTGGAATTTGATTTAAATGTACAAAAACAGCGTTTTAAAATGGGTTATTTAATGAATCCATCTTAAATATGTTGGCTACATTAAGAAGCCATAAGTTCATGGAAAAATTAAATCCAACTGATTTAATAAACAGAGAAAATATTATCTTTAGTTAGTAAGCTAAATTGATTTTCCTGGTCATCATATCCTTCGGGTTTTTAAAACTAAGAGATCTGCTCCTGTCAGATGCATTTTTGTTGATAGATTGGAGAAGTGAAAATGAGTCTTTCTGCTTTTTCACCTTTGCATTAGCTCCCCAAATTTAAATGAACTGGCTGTTGAATAGAACTAGTTAAATAAAGTCAAATGAAAGAAACACTCCCTGGGCTTGCAGAAGTAGCTATGCTGGTAAAAAGGTTGATTTGTCCCTTTAGAAAAGTCTTTCAGAGGCTTTGCCAGTGACTTCTTCCAGTTCAGTGGTTTGACTTTTTTTAAAGCTTTGGCAGAAAACATGTACTGGTTCAATGTTGTTTTATTTAATTTTAATTATTTGAATGAAATGTAAGTGTAAGCCTTAAAATAGCTGCCATAATTTCACACTTAATTTAGAAGAGGTTTATTTTAAAAACATATTAACATTACATTGAAATTCAATTTAAATAAAATGAATCCTATTTTTAAAATCCATGTAGCACCTGAGAAGTGGGCTGGTAGGTGCTCAGGTCACTCTCCGCAGACGTGGGAGACCCAGGCACAAGTCTTGCAAGTCTGAACTAAGCAGAGCAGGACCTCAACACTGGTTGTCCATAGTCCAGGGAGCCATCCCTTGACCACTAGGCTGGTTGGGGTGGGTCGGTCAGTCCTATAAAGCTTCCCCAGAACGATGTACTTCTATGAATACTTTTTGTTGAAATGGCATTTTTCAATGAAAATTTTCTATTGACAAATTCCTGACCAGCTCTAGCTTTGGCTTAATTAGGCTTGTGGCTGAGAACCATGCAAATACAGATTTCCTGAATATGGTGGTAGTGTCCTTATTAAATGCTCAGCTACAAACACACAGGCTTTCTGCACTCAGTGGGTCTGAACTAAGGCCTGTGCTGTTTTATGGCCGTGCTGTAGGCCTTATTGAATAGACTTGAAAATGTTAAATCAGGAAACTCCTGAAGAGATGGTGTGTGAGATTGAGCTGCATGTGCACTGAAGCGGGAAGCTGCTAGATGTAACTAGGGAGGCCTGATATATGCCTGGTGAGAATGAGGGAGGTTTACAGTACTTACAAGCCACATATCTGGTTTCCCAGTTCCAGAAAGGATAACAGAATTACAGATTTCATAGACATTAGGGCTGGAAGGAACCTCAGAAGATCATCCAGCACCCTGCCCCAGGAATTATAACAAACAAGCTAAAATTATGGTGCATTAAGATTAAGGGTATAAAGATAATTTAGGTACCAGATATTGCCTAATTAGAAAAACAGGTTTGGCACATGAATAGTATTCTGATTGGCTAGTAAACACATGACTCACGCATGACCTAAGTAGCTAACTATGTATTAGCTAATGATTGGACTAACTCTATCCATGGGTACATAGATGCAGAACAATTGAAGACTTGGTTCTGTGTGCTCTTACAACTATTCCTTGTCAGCTAGCCTGATCACCTGGCTGACAGCAAATAAAGCTAATTTGGTTGTACTTAACTGGGTGCATCTAAATGAGATGCTTTACTGTAGTTTACTGCGCAGAAAGCATGTGTGTCTACATGTGCACATGCTTACTGTGCAGTAAAACTTGCTAATTATGATTAAATCTGTTACCTGCAAATGCAAGTAGCAAATTTACTTGTGATTACTAACTGTGCACTAGTGGTCGTGTAGATGCATGATGCAGAGCAAATATGGTCCCAGCCAGCGGGCGCAGGAGATTGCTCCCTAACCCTGGAAGCTGCCTGTTGCTGGAGGGGGATGAGGGTCTGCCACTGGAGCCCAGGCAGGGATTATGTTTTCCTGTCCTGGCAGCAGGGAGCTCCAAGCCTCCCTACCACTCCTAGATCATGATCAGGGAGCAGGGGCTGGGACATCCTTATCTCCCAGCGCCAGGTCTGTGACAGTGCAGCTGGTGCTGGGGGATCCTTATCTCCCAGCCTGAGCTCTGCAGTCACGGGGCTGGCAATGAGAGATCCTTATCTCCCAGCACCAGCTCTGACACAGGACCGGCACTGGGAAAGCCTTAGCTCCCAGTTTTGGTGAGCTGTCGAGGGCTGCAAAAGTAGCCCTGCTCCTTGACAGGTTCCTCTTGGGACGGAAAGTCCCTCCCCTAACCCCTGACCTGTGTACTGAAAGTCTCTCCCCTTGCCCCCAGAAATACTGCTTTTGGGAGGAGAGGGGTTGCCATCTTGGAACTGGAAAACCCCCCCATATCATATATTAAAAGTCAAACCTCATGTTTTAATTTTATTACATATTTTTGTTCTGATGTGTGTGCGTCTGAGTAGTGTATATAGACATGATTACATAACAGCTCAAAAATAAAGTCTTACTCTTGTATATTGTGTGGGGTATGTGTGTGGAGGAGTGTGGGGGCTGTGGTTGGGGGCGTATATGATGGGAGGTGTAGGTTATGTGGGGAGTGTGGGGTTTGTGGGGTGCAAGGGAGAGTGGGGGGGTGGGGGGCCCCAG